TGTTGACAAGGATGTGGAAAAACTAGAATCCTTGTGAAATGTTAGTGAAAATGTAAAACGGTGCAGCTTGTAAACCAAAATTAAAATCCTAAGGCCCCTATAGCCTGAATGGACCCTCTCTTGGCCAAGGAAACCCCAGAAAAACCTTAATAACGGAATTCCCAGCCATGACAGGCAGGGAGGTTGGACACACATCATTAAACTCCCTCCCTTCTGGAGTTTAGGCTTAGACGACCTGAGTAAATATAAAAACAGAGATTGAATAAATTGCAAATTTAATAGTAATTAATAAATTACACAAATGACCTGAGTAAATATAAAAACAGAGATCATAAGGCTGACAAAAGACTCTTGATGGCAACAAGGTAGCAAATTCTTTTTTTTTTTTTTTGAGACGGAGCTTTGCTCTTGTTACCCAGACTGGAGTGCAATCGCTCGATCTCAGCTCACTGCAACCTCCACCTCCTGGGTTCAAGCAATTCTCCTGCCTCAGCCTTCTGAGTAGCTGGAACTACAGGTGTGCACCACCATGCCCAGCTAATTTTTTTGTATTTTTCAGTAGAGACGGGGTTTCACCGTGTTGACCAAGATGGTCTCGATCTCTTGACCTCATGATCCACCCGCCTCGGCCTCCTAAAGTGCTGGGATTATAGGCGTGAGCCACTGTGCCAGGCACAAGATAGCAAATTCTAAACAATACCTAAGGCCAGCCAAGGCAAGCCTTAAGCCATGCCCAAAGGCCACCAATCTCGCTAAATGGCTCATATTGTGGCTGACTCTGACACAGCATACCAAGGTTTTAACTTAAAATATTCCTTTCTAATGACTCCTAAATGCTATACAAAATTTTGCTCCTTTAACTAATTGTAGATTAAAGATTTTCTGAATCGACCTGTGACCTGTATACTCCTCTATCTCGCCTTGGCTTCAAGATATTCCACATTTTCAGGCTGAGCCAATGTATACCTTCTACATATTGATTTATGTCATTGTTTGTAACTCTTGCCTCCCTGAAATGTACAAAACCAAACTGTAATTCAACTCCTTCGGGCGCGTTTTCTCAGGACCTCTCAAGACTGTTTCACTGGGCCAGGGTCACTCATACTGGCCCAAAATAAACCTCTTTAAAATATTTTACAGAGTTTAGTCTCTCTGTTAACAAGCTGCCATGAAAAAACAGTATGGCAGTTCCTCACAAAATTAAAAATAGAATTGCCATATGATCCAGCAAGTCCACTTCTGGGAACAGATCCAGAAGACTTGAAAAGCAGGGTCTCAAAGAGGTATCTGCATACCCATGTTCACAGAAGAATTATTCACAACAGCCGAAAGATGGAAGGAACCCAAATGTCTATCAATTGGTAAACAAAATGTGGTATATCCATACAATAAAACATGATTCAGCCTTAAAAAGAAAGAAAATTCTGACACATGGTACAACATGGATGAACCTTGAGGACATTATGCTAAGTGAAATAAGCCAGTCATAAAAAGATAAACACTTGTAAACCAAAAATAAAATTCTAAGCCACCCAACCTGCTGAATGGGCCTGCTGTTGGCCAAGGGGATCCCAAAGGAGTCTAGAAAACTAGTTCAGGCTATGACAGGAAGGAAGGTTGGACATGCCTCTTTATAGTGCCCCCCCCCCCAACATCCCTTTGGGGTTCAGGCACAACTGACCAACATTAACAGTAAAATAGAGGTAAGACTGACAAAACAGACTCTGTAGCAGTAAGATACCAAATTCCAACCTGATTCTGACACCGCATCATCCAACAGACAGCAGGCCCAAAGGAAATCAAAGTATTTTACCCAAAGATACATTTCATTGATATATTTTGAAATGGCCCTGCAAAGCCATCTTTTGTGGGGAGATCCACATTTTGTAGAGAATCTCCTTCCTTTTCTATGTCTTTTCCTGATCCAGCAGACATTTAACGAAGAGTCTGACACCTTTTAAGGTCTGAAAGGAGACATTTACCATTTGTTCACTCTGAAGCCTGCTACTGAAGTGGCTTCATTGCATAACAAGAATCTTGGTGCTGGTCACAGTGGCACACGCCTGTAATCCTAGCACTTTGGGAGGCCGAGGTGAGTGGATCATGAGGTCTGGAGTTCCAGATCATCCTGGCCAACGTGGTGAAAATACAAAAAAAATCCCAAACAACAAAAAAAACACACCAAAATACTAAAAATACAAAACAAAAAAAATCAGCTGACATGGTGGTGTGTACCTGTAATCCCAGCTACTGGGGAGGTTGAGGCAGGAGAATTGCTTGAACCCAGGAGGCAGAGGTTGCAGTGAGCTGAGACTGCGCCACTGCACTCCAGCCTGGGGCAGGGGAAGACTCCCTCTTGGGGGTGGGGTGGGGCCGAGAGCTTTGGCTTCCACAACCCCCTCAGCTTAACTCCAGCACTTGTTTCTCCTGACTTCAACCCTTTAGGCAAAGCTTAACTCTTTCAACCAATTGCCAATCAGAAAATCTCTGAATACACCTACGACATGTATGTGCACCTGCTTCAAGACGCCCTACCTTCCCACAGCCTGAACCAACATACACCTCTTGAGTACTGATGTATGTCTTTGCCTGTAACTTCTGTCTCCCTAAAATGTGCAAAACCAACCTGTGACCTGACTACTTAAGGCGCATATTCTCAGGGCCTCTTGAGACTGTGTCCTAGGCCATGGTTGCTCGTATTTGGCTCAGAATAAACCTCTTTAAATATTGTAGAGAATTTGGTTTCCTTTGTCAACATATTGCATAATTCTACTTACACGACGTATGTAGAGTCAAACTCAGAAAAGATAGTAAAACGGTGCTTCTCATGGACTGGGGGGAGGGAGAAATAGGGAGTAGTTGTTTAATAGGTGAAGATTTTTAGTTCTGCAAGATGAAAAGGTGCTGGAGATTGGTTGTGAAATAATGTAACATATTCAACACTACAAAACAGTACACTTAAAAATGGTTAAGATGATAAATTCTATGTTGTATGTATTTTACCACAATTAAAAGAAGAAAATCTCTATTTAAATATTTAATGCCTGCATCTAATTACAGATTTCCCCAAATCTGGGATACCTGCCTCTCGGACGAGCTGAGTAATGTTAGGACATAGATGCTTGTTCATTATCACCTCCACTGCCAACTCCCTCCCAGGCATGCCTCTATTACGCCCTGCTAAGAATTTCACCCTCCACTATAACAGACCCAAACATCAAGTGGCCTAAAGATTTCTGGGAAATAGAAACAAATAGAAAGGGGCCCGTCCGTGTATACTTCCTTAAAGACTTTTAAGTTTTAAAATTATTGCTTAACAATAATTTAGTTAAAATATAAAGGTTCATCACAGGCATAACAAACATAAAATTAGAGTGCGACAGGATTCAGGACATGCTTCCTCAGATATGACTGTAGGAGACCAGAATAAGCCACCATAAATCTGTCTCTTTGGCATAAGGATAATTTTGAGCTGGTTATTTTGAGATACACATAGGGCAAAGACACAGGGTAGGCTGGGAGCAGAGCTCACGCCTGTAATCCCAGCACTTTGGGAGCCCAAGATGGGTAGATCACCTGAGGTCAGGAATTTCAGACCAGCCTGGCCAACATGGTAAAATCCTGTCTCTACTGAAAAAAAAAAAAAAAAAAAAAAAAACCTACAAAAATTAGTCAAGTGTGGTGGCGGGCGCCTGTAATCCCCAGCTACTCAGGAGGCTGAGGCTGGAGAATTGCTTGAGCTCGGGAGGCAAATGCTGCAGTGAGCCGAGGTTGTGCATTGCACTCCAGTCTGGGCAATAAGAGCGTAACTCCAGCTCAAAAAGAAAAAAGAGTCACCCTTGTGTAAGAGAAATTACATCTACAAAGAAATTCCATTTCTAAGGGTCTCTCTCTCTCTCTCTGCATCAGGAAGAGAAGGATGACTGGATTTCTGGAGACTTTTATAAAAAAAGGAGAGAAGGCATTGGGTTAAATCTGCAGAACCAACATCACCTGTGTTTTAGGAGACTTTTCTAAACTGGACCTTTTCCCACACTCTTCTTTCTCTGCTTCCACAAAGCATTTAAGCCTGTAGGCTACGACAATTTTTTGAGCTGCTCTAGAGACTTCCTCATTTCTTTGGGTTAACTCCTGGGTATGCAGGAGATGTACATGTTATGAAACTTATTTGTTTTCCTCTTGTTAATCTGTCTTTTGTAACAGGGAGTCCCAGCTAAGAATTCACTAAGAGTAGAGAAGAAAATCATTCTTCCTCTCCTACAAGTGAATAAGTGAAGATGCACCAGTCACTTCTGCAAGTTTCTGATTTCTACTTCAGACGGATGATAAACACCAGCTTTCTCTGCTTATTCACTATGTGCTCACGTGACTGGGAAATGGAATAAAGAATTCTGGTTAAAAGGCAAAAACTGCTGTCTCCATTTTTCCTGGTTTACAAATCACAACTTAACTATATTGTAAAAAAAAAAGATGAAAATAAAATTTGTCAACGATAATTATAATAACCTATTCACAGTATTTAACAGAAACTGGAGGAATAGTCATACAGTGGTGCCACTCCTGAAAGCAGACACTGATGAAAATGTACCTGTTTCCTAAGAACACTCTTACCTGCACAAGAGTGTCCAGTGTGAAGATGTGCTCCCCACGAACATTGTAGAACTTGACCATGGCACTCTTCAGAAGGGGACCATTGGGAAGCTCTCCAAGCTGGGCCTGCCGTTCCATCCCAGCAACTGCCAGCAAGTCCCCTTGTGTGCACCACTGGGCCACCACCTCTGAAACAGCGGAAGAGAGGGTCAGCACAAAGACACGGCCCTCCTTAAACAGTCACTCAGCAGGCCACTGCCTGTCTTCAGTAGTTTACAAAATACAGACACTGAGCAAAAATAACAAAAATATATTTCTTTTTTTTTTTTTTTTTGAGACAGAGTTTTGCTCTTGTCACTCAGGCTGAAATACAATGGCATGATCGGCTCACCACAACCTCCACTTCCTGGGTTCAAGTGGTTCTCCTGCCTCAGCCTCCTGAGTAGCTGGGACTACAGGAATGGACCACCATACCCAGCTAATTCTGTATTTTTAGTAGAGGTGGAATTTCTCCATGTTGGTCAGGCTGGTTTTGAACTCCTGACCTCAGGTGATCTGCCCACCTTGGCCTCCCAAAGTGCTGGGATTACAGGTGTGAGCCACGATGCCCAGCCGATATATTCACGTTTCAGCTCACAAATACAACGACCCATTTCTCTGAAGATGATGGATTCTATTAAAAACAGTCACATGAATGGGGATTGTAGTTTCCTGAAACACAACCAAATTAGGTAGAAGTCGAGATATAATAAAGTTGGCATGTTAAATATCTATGTCCAATTCCAGTATTTCCATAATGAGACTCGCAGAACTTCCTTGTTTTTTTAGAGAAAGCAAGACAATAAAACCTCTGACTGTATATTCAGATAAGTGCTTGGCCCACTGCTGTGTCCTCCATTCCCAGGGATGACTCAGAGAGTTTATAAATGCCAAATATAAAAAGCGAATTGAAAACAAAGCCTAAGTTTATATTCACTTGATTTCTGGGCACTACTGGGCAGATACGGTTCATACAAAGGACACCGGCACATATGAGAATGCTGACTTTTATTCACCATTTGACGATGTTGTGGGGCTTAGAAAATAAATACCCCTGCTGGGAGATAGTTTTTTTCCGGGAAATTTCCACACTGGAAATTCGATGCCCACCTACAAACTACTCAGTGCTATAAGAAATGGTTATTGCTGGGCATGGCGGCTCACGCCTGTAATCTTACCACTTTGGGAGGCTGAGGTGGGCAAATCATGAGGTCAGGAGATCAAGACCATCCTGGCCAACATGGTGAAACCCTGTCTCTACTAAAAATACAAAAAAATTAGCTGGGCGTGGTGGTGCATGCCTGTAGTCCCAGCTACTCGCGAGGCTGAGGCAGGAGAATTGCTTGAACTCAGGAAGCGGAGACTGCAATGAGCCGAGATCGCGCCATTGCACTACAGTCTGGGTGGCGGTGCAATACTGTGTCTCAAAAAAAAAGAAAAAGAAAAAAAGAAATGGTTATTAAAAGATTTATCTTATCCCAGTGTGAACAATTTATTTCTTGCTGGTAAAACAAAAGCTACTAGTATAAATAAGATTTATTACATATTTTTTCTCCCTCAAGACCCTAAAACCATAATCTAGTTTATACAGAAATCTCTGAAATCTCAAACTAAAATGGCCCACTTTGCAGAGAAGCTGGGTGGAACTTAAAGAAAATACTCTGCCCTGAAGGGCACCTATTTCAGAGGTGGGGCTAGAATTCAGTAGTCCCCAGGCTCTATCAGCACACACATGACAATACCCCTCTTATTCATGCATGGTCATGATTTTGATGCTGCTCCAGAACATTCTGAGGTTGCTGAAGCTCTTTCACCTCTCTTAAAAACTGGAGTGTATCTCCTGAGGCAACAGAGTTTTCCAGACCCAGGGAACCCAGAACTTTCTCATGAAATTAGCCGCAGAGCAGAAACTAGGGACACAAAGGGCTGAGCCAAAGCAGTTACAGATGAACAGAAAACGGAAAAAAAAATTTCTCACAATCAGGAAATGTAAAACCACATAAAAGAATCGAAAACATCCTGTGGTATCAGGTTCTTTTACAGATGGGAGGGGAAGCTAGGATTCGTGCACATATTAAATATGCTCTGGGCATTCAACATCTAGGTCTGTCTCAGGGAAAAGCCTGCTTGCCATCAGGAAACTGAGATGACGTTCTCCGGAGAGCAGCTTTGGGCACACGAGGAAACCAAAAGGTGAAGCAACTAACATAAACAAAGTAGGAACAAAGATGACGGTGTCTCAGGCTTCTTAGGACAGAACTATCATTGTAATATTGCAGAAATAAAGCTGATGACGTGAAATTTCCACAGCTCCTCATCTGAGCTGCACCATTCTTGTATTTATTTTAAAAATAAGATATTTTTTAAAAGTGTATTGCAAGGTGGCTTTCCCCAACAGAAAAGTGGCTCGTTGCACCTGCAGAGCTGAGCTAGACGCATGATACTTTCGGAGACAGCTCAGAGGCTCAGCAAGCAACGTGGGGCACTCCCAGGCTCTGTCTACTAGATGGGCTCTATCTGTCGGACGCAAGAATATACCCAAATGTTTACAAGCAAACTCTCAGGGACATCTTTTAACGCAGGTGCAAAGTTATAATGAGATGGTTGTCATCTGCAAAGGCGAATCACAATCACTCTTTCTTTCTTTTTTTTTTGAGACAGTGTCGCTCTATTGCCAGGCTGGAGTGCAGTGGCACTATCCGGTTTCAAGCAGTTCTCCTGCCTCAGCCTCCCAAGTAGCTGGGACTACAGGCACGCACCACCATGCCCGGCTAATTTTTTGTATTTTTAGTAGAGACAAGGTTTAACCATGTTGGCCAGGATGGTCTCGATCTCTTGACCTTGTGATCCGCCTGCCTTGGCCTCTCAAAGTGCTGGGACAATCACTCTTTCAAAAAAGATTAAATTCCATACAAATAATGCCATTGCGTGTTCTAATGAATATGGAGCTAGGTGCATCAAGCGATATAGCAACATATGTGAGGGCCTCTGATGATTTAGCATAAAGCGGTCCTGAGCTACACGACAGGCAAAGCTGTGACCAGGGACATAGGCTATCTCATAAAGCACAAGCACGAAAAATTCAGCAGAGGAACTAAGAAAGAACAACCCTGAATTGTTCAGTGTCAGCCAGGAGTATGTGAGTTTTCTGCAAGAGCTGAATTCCTAAGGCAAGAGTTTAAAATTTTCAGAAATTAGTGGTAAAAATCAAAGCAAAAGAAAATACTCATTCAATTTCTAGATGTCACTATGACAAAGAAGAGAAGGATACAGAAGCCTAGATATAGTCAGGACAGAACTTTTATGTTTCAGAAACTTTTTGTAAACCATGTCTGTCTTATTTAAAAAAAAAAAAAAATCCCCAGTATCTTTGCCCAAGGATTCAGCAATAATTTTGTTTGAAGCTCTGATTTTTAAATTTGTTTCAGAATACAACCTGAAAGAACAAACTAATGTTCTACTCAGTAGGCCTCTATTCCCTTTTCCGAAAGCTCATGGCTCGGAGTCTCAAATCTTGCCCTCCCAGGCAGACAGGGAATTCTGAAGCACACAAGAGGTCCAAACTCTGGAAGCATCTATTTTTCTCACCGATTTTGGGAGGTGTGGGTTTTTGGTCTCTTAGGTGTTTTACACAAAGAAATTCAGCACACGTATACTATTTTCCTTTAGGCAGAAAATCTTACGAATCTCTTTTTGTAAAAGTCTGGAAACTTATATAAAGTCAGTGAAAATTAAGTTCTTTTGTGTTAACAAGAAGCCCTTATGTGGCGTTAGTGCTGGGTCAAAAAGAGGCAACTGAATTTTAACAGAAGAAAAAAGGTGTGCTTATCAAGCACGACATATGTTGCAGCTACCATTTGGAGCCTGAGGTTACCCAGCCCTTTGTCCCTTACATTACCATGTGTGTGATTCACCTCTTTATTAGTCATTTGACACACATGTTGTATATGTGCATATACACCTGCATGTGGAGAAGTGGGGGGTGGAGGAAAGAGAAACTAATTAATTAGCGAAGTGTGTGATGATAAAATAACAGGTACTTTTTTTCTTTAAGAAGTATGTTTTGGCCGGGCGTGGTGGCTCACGCCTGTAATCCCAGCACTTTGGGAGGCCGAGGCAGGTGGATCATGAGGTCAGGAGATCGAGGCCATCCTGGCCATGGTGAAACCCCATCTCTACTAAAATACAAAAAAAAAAAAAATCAGAGTCACTGCCTCGAAGATCGAAAAAGCCAGGCGTGGTGGCGTGTGCTTGTAGTCCCAGCTACTCAGGAGGCTGAGGCAGGGGAATTGCTTGAATCTGGGAGACAGAAGTTGCAGTGAGCCGAGATCATGCCACTGTACTTCAGCCTGGTGAAAGAGCAACATTCCATCTAAAAAAAAAAAAAAAAAAATATATATATATATGTTTCATTGCAAGGACTGAAAAAAAGGGGCACGTACTCAGTGAGAACCACACAGGCAAATCTTATCAGGTCTGTCTGCAGGAGCAGACGGTATCAATGACTGAAACCACCCTGCCTCAAAAATTCCCTCCTCATTTTCTCAGTTGTACTCAATGAAATGATAAAAGAGAAAATTCTGCAAAACAAAAAACAAACAAAGCCCAGGGGTTGGAGCTTTTAATTTCAAGGCACGTGTGGGATGAAATGGGTGCCTCTGGGAGCTTGCTTTACCACTGAGGGATGAACTGGCTTGGCCAGAAAATTCCTGAACTCATGTTGGAATTATTTCTACTCAGGAAAAAGTATAAGAAAGGGTAAAAACCCCAAGCAAAGATAATCAATTGCCTGCTTATTGTATGATGAACAGAAGTCCCCGTTCTGAAGGAAGAGAATCTGAGGAAGGCAGAACTTCCTCGGCAAACCACTGACAAGCAAAACCAGAGCCTAATCCTCCCCAGATCCTGTCCTTTGACCCCAGAGACACATCTGCAGTGAAAATGAAGTGTGCTGACTGATGCAGAAGAGGCCTGGGCAGGGACCAAGAGCTATGTGGAATTCTAGGTTCTTTTGTCAGGATGTAAATTCCAGTGCTGGTGATACACTAAAACAATACTGTGAGTCACCTTCCTTTGCTGCAAAAATTCTTTAGTGAGATATTCCTCTAAGACAGGAACAGAGAAAAACCAAGTGGATTGGAGATCTTTTTAATTTCCTCTATGAGACAAGTGGCTGACCTGTCTTTAACAGAACAAATAACCCCATGGCTAAAAACATTGCCATGTGCCATCTCTGACAGTGTTCTGGTTGTCTCTTCCCAATATTTACCAACATAACCCCTAAGATAGTGGATAAACAAATAAGTTACAAAACAAAAATGATTGCTATTCACACATAAAGGCGGAGTCTTTAAAACATCCCAAGAGAGAAAAGGTAAATTGCCTACATATAGCATCGTCGGGGCAAAGAGAACAAGATCCCAACTATGGTGCTTTGGTACACTGAGTCTTTTGAATTAAAGGCAACTGGAAGGCCTTAGAACAGGGGTGTCCAAACTTTTGGCTTCCCTGGGCCACACCGGAAGAAGAATTGTCTTGGGCCGCATATAAAATGCGTGAACACTAACGATAGCTGATGAGCCAAAACAAACAAACAAAAATTGCAAACAAAAAAAAAATCTCATATTGTTTTCAGAAAGTTTACAAATTTGTGTTGGGCCACATTCAAAATTGTCCTGGGCTGCATGTGGCCCACGGGCTGCAGGCTGGACGAACATGCCTTAGAAGCTGTTTCAGAACCCAAAATTTTGGATCTCTTGCTTTCCCCAAAAAAACCAGGAAAGATTTAACCACCAGAGAAGAGAATAAAATTTGTTAAAACTTTTAGTCACAGTGCAGAGTTTCACCCCTCACCTTCCTATAACTTACGAGTCCCATTCAGTTCCCAAGAATTATTAACAAGATAATGTCTACCTCCTAGGTCCATTCATTTCACCTAGAAATCAATTACTACTAATCACTATTGCCTACCCACCACCCCATTTCGCTCTTTCCCACAGGAAGGGTATAAAACCATGTGGACTTCCTTTGAGTCTCTTACTTTATGTGGCTCCTATGCTTATTTACATTAACACATTTCTATGCCTTTTTTCCTATTATCTGTCTACTGTCAGTTATTTCAGGGAACCTTCAGAGAGGACAGAAGGGAAGCTTTTCCTCTGTCCCTACAGCACCTAGTAGAGGGCACCAGCTCATGTCTACTTAATCTAACTTTCTGAAACTGGGAAGACACAGAACAACAGCATCCTGTAAATAATTTTTTTCTTTTCTTTTTTTTTTTTTCTTTCTTTTGAGGCAAAGTCTTGCTCTGTTGCCGGGGTTGGAGTGCAATGGCACAATCTTGTCTCACTGCAACCTCTGCCTCCCACATTCAAGCGATTCTCCTGCCTCAGCCTCCCGAATAGCTGGGATTACAGGCATGCACCACCATGCCCGGCTAATTTTTGTATTTTCAGTAGCGACAGGGTTTTCCCATGTTGGTCAGGCTGGTCTCGAACTCCTGACTGCAGGTGATCCATCTGTCTTGGCCTCCCACAGTGCTGGGATTACAGGCGTGAGCCATTGTGCTCTGCTGAAAGCATCTTATAAATAACTGAAAAAATTTTTAGGTTAGATTTAGATATCTACTTAGGCAAGAATTAAAATGATAAACTTACCTGTAGTTTTAGAAGAAAACTCAAGAAAAAAATTTCTCATTTTGGAGGGCTCCTTTGGGTCACCTCCCCAAGTTACCTAACGTATACTTTTACCTATATTGCATATATGGTTGCAACACCTTAGAAATGCTGCTCCAGGCCGGGTGCGGTGGCTCATGCCTGTAAGCCCAGCACTTTGGGAGGCCGAGGCAGGTGGATCACCTGAGGTCAGGAGTTTGAGACCAGCTTGACCAATATGATGAAACCCCGTCTCTACTAAAAATACAAAAATTATCTGGGCGTGGTGGTGCATGCCTGTAATCCCAGCTACTCGGGAGATTGAGACAGGAGAATCCCTTGAACCCGGAAGGCGGAGATTGCAGTGAGCCAAGACCACACCATTGCACTCCAGCCTGTGCAACAAGAGTAAAACTTCGTCTCAAAAACAAACAAACAAAAAAAGAAATCCTGCTTCCAACACCTAATTTATAGGCATAGTACAAATGATATAGTCAAGGAATAAAAAATGCTTCCATAAGCAGGTAAAAACTGGAAAAATTCCCCCTGTAAAGAATAAAAAAGGAACTGAGTGGTAATTACATTATTTTCAGCCTTCACCAGATATTTGCTAGAGAAACGAGTTTAGGATTCCAGAACTAGAGGCAGGTTCTCAACCAAATTAATGAACTTGGTTAAAAGGTTTAAAAATAGAATTTTGAAGAAAAAAGTTGAGCTTGGGTTATAAACACATTAGTGAATTTATGTTGACCATCCTTGTGTTTTAGCTCCATGAAAGACAGAACATTCAAAAAAAATTTTAAGGATAAGCAAAGAATTTAAGTTCATCATCATCACAAAAAATATGTACTCAGCTCCTACTGGGGCCTATGTGTGGAATAAAGGACTTAAACATCGATCATGTCCCTCAAGAGTTTACAGCCTAAATAATTCCTTATAATTACAGTTCTGAAACAGTAGATTGGGATACCCAAAAGAGGGTGTGTAATATGCTTCTAAAAATGTTCTATAGTTTAAAAATAAAATAATTACTTGGGGGGGGTACAGAGGCAGGTATGATTCTTGCCAACCAACAGTTAAGTACAGGACTTGATTCTTTACATCCCTGTGATTGCTGAATAATTAAGGCAAGCAGCAGCAGCACATGCTAATGACTCCCTAGACAGATGGCCAGTTTTGAATGACAGTAGTTAGTTACCAAAGTTTGGTATCAAAGTTCCTGGCTAGTCTCCTACATCCTCATTCAGATTATGGGAGGTCCCTTAAACATCAAGGGTCAGAAGCAGCCCAGGTATTCAATTTTAAAACCTTTTTACATTGTACCATTCAACTCTGAAGAGACAGATTGTTTTTCCAAAGAACTCACATCAATGCGGTCATAACATCATCAGTACTCTCGAACTGCAACATTCACAACACTCCAAATGCCTATGCCCACTGATTTTCTTTTGAGATAACAACACTCATAATAGCTATCAGGAAGGTATCAGCACTTGACTACTGCCCTTCACATCAATGCCTCAGTCTGATAATTGCAGAACCTCCACAAGGCTTTCAAGGTAACTTTATCGCACAATGATCAGCTCCTTAATAAATCTGCCAGATTCTCAGAATTACGGGGACTTCTGTGTAAATGATGTCTTGTGCACCATCTGCTGCCTTAGGGATGGCAGGTGCTGCAGTCCATTTATTGTGCAGACAGGCGTGAGACAGATGCAAACATACTTGTACACCTGATAGTGGATCATTCTTGTCATAGTGAGGAAAAGAGCAGGTGAAGATGAAGACTGAGTGTGAGGAATCTCCCTTTGAGATTAGACTAGGTATGGACTTGGCTGGGTGCGGTGGCTCACGCCCATAATCCCAGCACTTTGGGAGGCTGAGGTGGGTGTATCACTGGAGCTCAGGAGTTCCAGATTAGTTTGGCCCTGAGCCAAACATGGCGAAACCCCATCTCCACTAAAAATACAAAAATTAGCCAGGAATGGTGGTGGACGCCTGTAATCCTAGCTACTCGGGAGACTAAGGAAGGAGAATCACTTGAACATGGGAGAGAGAGGTTGCAGTGAGCTGAGATCATGCCATTGCACTCCAGTCTGGGCGACAGAGTGAGACTCCCTCTCAATAAATAAATAAATAATAAAATAAAGACTAGGTATGGACTTGTCAGATAAGCAAAGGAATGAAGAGGGAGTGGCTTTAGTTAATAGACTCCATGAAGCCCAGAAGAGGTCACCAGAGAGGACAGGAGTCAGTAAGGACAGGGTGCACGAGACCAGCCTTGAGGCAAACACACACAGGCCTGGTCTGTAGGTTTGGGGCATGTGCAACATTCTGTACCTTTCAGCCCTGAGCGGATGACCGTGGGAGACAAGTCATCGTAGTTGTTCATTAAGCTGATGTCTCCCGAGGTGAAGCTGACGGTGAGCAGAGGCTTGATGTTCTGCACTGGGATAGGATACGCTGCCGGACCATCTGCAGGAACACAAGTGCTGAGTGAAAAGGAGGCAAGCACACCACCCAAATCCAGGTTCCCAAAGCTGCCATCTTGCATGGTGCCTTAGAAATTGCCTGACAATGCAGATCCTACTCTGGATTGGGATGCGACCTGAATGAAGCATTCTGTATCATTCAGGAACCACATACGGGCCATCAGCAGGTACTAACAGAGAATTCTGGAGTAAGAAGCAGCTAGAGACACAGCCCTGGGAGCAACTGCTGAGTGGTGAGAATATGTGTGAAAGTTTATCAGCTTGTATGTTAATATGTTACACGGTTCTAATGATGTATAGACATAAATTATTTTAATGTCATACAACATCCAAGGATAGTAGGAGGAGGGATAAAAACGGTTTCATAATTCTGGTCCAAGAGAAAGAAAAGTTGCCTTTCAAGACTAAATTCTCTTTCACTGAATGTTACAGGAAATCAGCAGCCACAGCGGCCAGCCCAGATTTGGAGAGAAGACTGGGCTGGATGTAGCTCTTAGAGGCTTCCTGCACCTGCAGAGCACGGCCGGGATATGGAAAACCCTGCTCTGGAGCTTCATGCAGACATTAAGGAAGGGGCCATGATGGACCATGGACTACTTGGTCTTTCACAGGTTGTTTGAAAAAGCAAAAGTAAGCCCTTTCTAGATGCCTGGATAGATCAAGGTTTTCAGAAGGCTCCCGTAGGCTTCACAGCCACACTGGGCTCATCTCAGCAGCCATCGAGGTTGGCCTGTCTGCCATCTACCTGCGGAAGAAGCCCAGTTATTGCTTTGCTTTACCTGTTGACACTGCACTGTGCCAACCTCTGCACTGAAACTCCCTAGGCCACTAAGAAGAACCCTGTTACATATGAAAGGCCAACACCTGGCATCCTCTAACCTGCCCCACTGCTTCTGAGAAGGGCAACTGCTTGGAGGAGCAACTGGGGACTGAATTCTGTTCTTAGACTTACTCTGCACTTGCTTTATAATCTTGGTCTCTGGACCTCGTTTTTCTCAATAATAAGATGGGGGTAAGTAAATCTGGATTCGACTCTCTAAAGAGGAGTTCTGTTTTAAGAGTATGCTGAGTTCATGTGATGAAGACACTGACTTTACTATCACGAGGCTGAAGAAATATAACGAACATGTCTCTTAAGGCTGGTAACCTGTCAGGAAAGGGGATGGTTAACTCCTAAATTGCTTTATGGGTGCTAGGAACACCCATAAACACCCAAGGCCCACTGGTCCTAAAACGCTTCCACTAATCTCAGTCGTTTTCATGTGTGAATGCCTTCTCCTAACATGAATAAATGAATATGTGTGTATATACACACATGTCTGTTGCTGGGAAGCATAACATGCTGTGACAGGAAAGAGAAGACAACATGAGAGCACTGCAGGTTCCAATAGAGGCAGACACTGATAGAGGAGAAAATCTTTATAATTTCCCCCAGAACGGCCCTTCACAGGACGACATGCTCCACAGTGGCAGGAAAGGTTAAAAACCACCCACTGTGCCCTTTGACTAAGAAGGGCACAGAGCAGTGTCAGCACAGCTGTGCCAGGCTAAGGATAGAAGCCTGTGGCAGTGTGACCACTTCTAATCAAGAAGCCAGTCCCACGCCCCAAAACGAGGTGGTTACAGCTAGACAGGAAGGCTAAACCTTCTATACCACTATAAAATGACTACAGTTAACAATAACATATTATATAGTTTCAAATACCTAGAAAAAGGATATTGAATGTTCCTAACACAAAGAAATGATACGTTTGAGATGAATATGTTTACTAAAATGATCTGATCACTATACATTATGTGTATCCAAATATCACAATGTGCCTCATGAATATGTGCAATTATTATATGTCAATTTTTTAAAGACAGATGTTTACAGGGGATGGGATGCTGGTGAAGAGCCAACTGAGTAGGCCAGTGCTGTACACCGATTCTGGAGACCTGCTAGAGGTTAAGGTGGCGGGAGTTTGAAGTTATCCCCACCAAGAGTATTCAGTACCAAGTGGGGTATACAGAGAGGCAGCAGGTCTTTTTGACCTGAGGAGGAAGAGAGCTTCTGCCTGAAATAAAGAGCATAGTCAGAAATGTGGAGTCATCTGCCCAAGGTGCTGGCCTTCATTACGGCAGAACAAATCCTTTTCTCATGCAACTAAAGCCGTGGGCTTTAATAACATTGGGGATTTGGGTTTACCACATATTAAGTTATAATAATAGCAGAGAATTTTTCATCTTTAGCTTTCTATTGTCACTAAGCAGCTGAGCTCCACAATACCTCAGGGACACAGGAAGAGCCATGTGTCTCACTTTATATCTGGGAAAAGCTAAGCCAATAAAGTGTAATCAACTCGACCAGTGATTCTGAGAAAAGGGACAAAAGCAGGGAGACAGTCACAGCTAGATGAGGGCAGTCCTACCCTGCATTTCAGCTCGAGAGCTCTTCCCAGGAAGCCGGTGCCATGGATGCGGTGACCCTTCACCCTCCCTCCTCTGCATTGGTCTACTCCCCTCCGATGCCCTTCTCTTTCCTTCTGGTCAACAAGGAAAGTAGGGCCAATGAGTACCTTGGGGAGGGGCGTAGTCATCCGAGTCCGTGTCGCTCTCGCTGCTGTCCTCCACCAGGAAGATCGGGTAGTTCCAGGACATGCCGAGGACGCCGTCTGACTCGTGCAGGAGGATGTGGGCCAGCATCCTGCCGTGGCAATCCATGACAATCACCTGCCCATCGGCTGTGCCAAACAGCACCTGCAATCCAGGACGGGGACCTCTGACCAAGTGGCAGCAAGGGCCAGTTTCTGACACACCTTGTTGCCTCAACTTGTTTTAGGAAGACAATATATATTTAGAACTAAAAAGTGCTACTTAAGTAACTGTACGGTGACCCAAAACATTAAGTAAAACCTCTGCTGGCTATTCCTGCAAGAATTTTAGTCCTCTAATACTGACGCGTGACTAACAGAATGAGTATATTATATTGCATGGATGTTTTCAAATAATACCAGCAAAATCACTGTTATACTATTTGTAGGGGTTGTGCTTTGTGTTTTTGATTGGAGGAGAGGGCTTAAGAAAATACTCATTTACTTTTCTGGAAAATGAAGCAGCAGCAGAGATTTGTTGTTATAATTTTCTCAAATTTAAAAGAAAAAGCTTAGGTTTATGTGTGACCAAAGAGAAAATACATTCAGTTATGTAAGCATGTTATCTAACCATATTTGGAAAAGAAGATGCTCTGAAACAATGTTTCGTTTCTAATGTTTAATGTTTTACTTCACTGAGAATAATGGTATTAATGTATTAATTTATAATTAAGGATGTGGTAGTGGTGTTAAAATATTAAGTACTTACTTTGCACTAGGCATTATGCTAAAAGCTTTACCTCATTAACTGTCAAAACCATGAGTTAGGTACTTGGATTGCTGGTGTGGCCCCCAGGTGGGCTTGCCACCACAGTATGCTGGGGGCTGCTCCTAGACATCTTCCTTGGCTTCACCCATCTCAGAGCACACACTCAGGACCATGCTGGACAGTACAGGTAGGTACATGGCCAGAGCTAAAGAACAATCTGGGCAGAGGAAGACTGGATGCTCCCCTCCATGACAGCAGCAAAGGAGCACCTCACAGCTGCTGAACACCCCCTGCCTCTCTGCTGCCAACTGACCAACAACACTAGTGGCACCACCAGTGGGGCACCCTGAGAGGAATCTTGGGACCTGGGCAGCAGGACCTCGACCGAGATGCATCACATTGCATTATATTCTGCTTCGCGTGGTGGTCTCTGCAGTTTCTGCATTGACTGCCATTAAAAATTTCACATCTTTTGTTTCTAGTGAGATGTCTATCCATCGGCATCTCATGGCAACAATCATGCAAGTTATCTCCATTTCACAAACACACAAACAACTCAGGAGAGGCCAAGTAGGCTGACAAAGTCCTTAAGTGATCAAGCCAGGGCTGCCTGACTAGACAGGCTAGAATTTACCCAAAAGGCAAGCCGGTTAAGGCTTTTTCCGTTTTTGCTTCTTTTTGCTTGAGATCTTAATGTTAAGCTCCTTGGGGGCAGAGATGGTCCATAGCTACATCCTTGGCACCTAACAGAGCTTTGTGTACTATGTAGGCATTCAATCAATATTTATCACTAGATGAATGCATTAAAGTCAGTGACCAGCAAAAGGCAATTCTAGGATATAAATACTGATGACTGAGAGACTGACTGCAGGAAGTTCACAGAGCTATTTTAGAATAAACTGTTCATCAAATATTCCTTTAAATATGATCTATATTTTAATGAATGAACACTAAAAAAAGGTGAAAACAATTTGCCTCCAGAGATAGGAATTAATTCATTACTATATGCTGTTTTCAGAAAGACATAACTACTAGGAACACCATGGAATTCATTTAGAAAAAGTTGAAATTTTAGGTGTCAACAAAAAAACGTATCTGATGGCATGTCTACAAATACAAAGACTTCATGTGACACAGGCATAGGGCTCAAGACACTGGAGCACGGGTCACAGACCTGCTGAAGCCCTGGAAGAGGCAGATGTTTTTAATGTGCTTGATGAGAAGTTTTCAAAGACAATAAATATGAAAAATGACTTCTTATAACTTTAATTCAGCTGTACTCATTGCCACATTTATCACTATTCTCATCCTTTTACTGTGGGATTGTTTGATTTCTGTCTGACCCTTAGTTACACTATAGGCTTTTGAGGCAATGGACTGCTATGGACTGAATATTTATGACCCCCAGCCCCCACCTCCGCAATTCACGTTGATGGTATTGGAGGTGAGGTCTTTGGGGGACGATTTGGTTTAGACAAGGTCAGGAGGGTATGGCTCCCATGATAGAATTAGTGCCCACATAAGAGAAGTCTGAGTGACCTGAGCTTTGATCTTAGACTTGCCAGCCTCCAGAGTTGTGAGAAATCAATGTCTGTTATTTAAGCCCCTCGGTCTGTGGTATTTTGTTACAGCCGCCCAAGCTGAGATCTGAACCACATCAGCTTTGCTTACCAGTACCTCGTTAGGCCCTGTCACGGTATACAACACACGAGACTATTTGCAAAAAGGGAGGAAATGCCTCTGCATTGAAAGGTCTGTTGAATTAAAACTCATTTTTCCATTTTAGAGAAGAAGGGACAGACGAAAGAACATTCATATAATTCCTGAATAAAGGACTGATTAAGTTATCAGAGTTTAGTGTCACATTAAAGCAAAACAGAACAAAAGGGCAGGCCCCAGATTCCCTACCACTAATTCATTCCAACTATAGCTCCTACAGGAAGACAAAACACTATTAAGATCAGAAACAATGGGAAAAGCAGCACTGACAGTTCAGTTGTCAAGCAATGATCGAGGAAGTCACTCTGTTTTGGAATGAGTATGTCACAGATAACCGAAGAACAGTCATAAAACATGAAATCAGATTTTCAAAAATCTTTTCCATTACAAGTTCTTTTCATGCCTAATCACTTTTAATGAGATAAAGCTTATGTGAGCAAAGGACTTCAGAAGAACAACACTGAGAGTCTAATAATAATGAATACATATATGGCAAGCACATCAATCTCTGCTGCTTCTGCTCCTTAATTCTGGTCAAGTAATAAATGTGTTCTGAGTGGGCTGGTGCTCCTGTTTCTAGAATTCTCTGTGCTAGTGCTCCCCAGGTTTGGCTCTAGGCCCTCTTCTTTCTAGAAAACCACAATCATGCCTACAGCCTGACTGTAAGCATTCATAGCTGACTCCCTGCCCAGGCCTCTCTGTCCTGAGCCCCAGACTCTCACATACGACTGCGTTCCTGATATCTCCCCGAGATGTGCCAAAGCCCCTCAGTGTCAACATGTCCAAGATGAAAGGCATCACTGAATCCTTTCCTGAGCAACACACACATCACCAGAGTCTGTCAAGCAAGGACTGAGGCCTGTGCTTTATCTCCAATGTCTAGTACACCATCTGGTTCACAGCAGGTGCCCAGACATCATGTGTGAAGGCTTCTGGGCCCCACCACACAGAATTAATCTTGCTCTAACCATGGCCCCCACAGAACTCTGAACTTGGCTCTGGTTTTGCATGCCTGTCTCCCAGTAAACCACAAGCATCTCAAGGGCAGGTCTGCACTCCCAGGTTCTCACTCACTGAGTGACTCAATGACTATAAATAAATTTCTGCCCAAATCTTTGCCCAACTTTTCCTATAAATGAAGGAGCAATTTCCTTCCTTTCTTGTTTAAACTATAAACCAATTCTCCCATAAAACTACCCCTCAAGACACTTTCAAGGATGGATCACATACATTTCTGTCCCATATTTTCCTGCCGTTTCCTCTGATGAAGTGTAGGCTTCAGGTATGGACAAGGCCAATGTTTCCTCTGTAATGCATACTCCAGGACAAACAAGCAGCAGGGACATATGGGTCAGGCCATACTTTGCAGCCTTGAATATACTCACTGCAGGGCAGTTTCTAATAGCAACACTGCCAGGCACCATGGCTCACACCTATAATCCTAGCACTTTGCAAAGCCGAGATGAGAGGATCACTTGAAGCAAGGAGTTTGAGCCAGCCTGGCCAATAAAGTGAGATCCTGTCCTTTACAAAAAACAACAAAAAAATGTATCAGGGCATGGTGGTGAGCACCTGTAGTCCTAGCTACTGGGGAGGCTAAGGCGGGAGGATTGCTGGAGCCTAGGAGTTCGAGGCTGCAGTGAGCCATGATTGCACCAATGCACTCCGGCCTGTGTGACTGAGATTTTGACACACACGAAGCAATGCAATTATGATATCCACATACAATCTCTTCATTTCAATGTACTCGCTTCTAAACTATTGTTAGATGCAATTATTTAAAAATAAACACAATTATTATCAGTAGTTTAAAATAAACCAAGCCACAACCAAAGGGGGAGAAGAGAGGATATAAAATCATTCAAAAGATTTTTATTTTGGAAGCAGTGGTATCTTGTCAGTACCTTTATCTTTGGACTCTACACACTAAATTGTTGACTAAAACCATGTTGGGAAATGTCAACTTCAATAATACATGCCTCCAAAAATGTTCATGCTTGTGTAATAGAGTTTAATTTGTAGCACTGGAACTAGTTCCTGAAGGAGGTGACTTTTCCCCACTTACTTGCTTTTATGATTGAAGGCTGGGGGAATACATTAAAAAACTGATTACAAATCCCTCTTAGTGACTTCAACAGCACTGGTGGCTTGCATGTGTAGCTGCAGACAGAGAAATGAAAAAACAGCCATGATGCCCCTCTTTTTCTTTGGAAGGACCCTTTTTGTCCTGAGATGCAGTTAAAGTAAAATAAAAAAATGTTAAGACCTCCCTGTTGGGTTTTAGAACACTGGCCTTCAGATATGCTTCAAGGCCAGACCTGAATATTTTGCAACTAAAGAAACAGTCACTGAAATCAGACAGTTGTAAATGACAGAACTGCTCAGTTGATTAACAGAATATTTCCTGTTTTTTTTTTTAAACATGAAATGTAATTTCACAGTTGACTATAATAATCACTCCTAAATCTGTATTGTCAGACTAAACATGTAATTTTGAAGTCATCTCTTCACTGAAGAAAAGACCACTTGTAAACTAACCTATTAAGACGAGAGACTCTCTCACATCTAAAGACTTTCAGAGCAGGAGATATTCTGCCTCTGGTCTCAAATTTAATGTTAAATGATTCCCATTACCAAAATATTTTCCAAATCTTTCGAGCTCCATTTTTAAGTTTATT